GAGCGGGCGGTTCGTTGCCGCTTGCAGAATCCGGCGGCAAGCCTCACCGCTGGCCCTGGCGGGGGCACCGGTGGCTCCTGCTGGTGGGCACAGACCAGAAAGGAGGAGAGAGGAGGACGCACGCTTACCCAGAAGCATTTGAGGTGGCCAGCCCATGGGCCAGGGAAGTCTCCATCCCTCTAATTGTGGTCTCCCTCACAGAATGATTCTGCTCTTCCAGAGGGGCAGTGCCTGCTCCGCTTGAGGAACAAAGGGATTCTGAATCTTCCAGGACCTGCAAGGTGAATCTTCTAAATCCATAAAAGTCTGTGTTGTCTGCAGCAGCTGGCCTCTTCCGTGGAAGCCAGCGCTACAGGAGGTATCTGTGAAAGGCACGACTCCCCGCTTTAGGAAAGAGCTGCGATTCCAGACAGGCCTGAAGTCCTTTCACATCAGCCAAAGTAATTCAAAGCCAGCAAGTAACCTTCTTCCACTCCACTTTGGGTACAACGTCCATCGTATCTGCAGCGCAGAGTGCAGACCATTTCCCCAGAGAAGTGCCTGTATACAAACACACCGGTAAAGCTGTGGCAAAAAGGGTCAGCTACGAAGGCAGCCCACCACGGTTACAACAGCAAGTCATTACCACCAGTAATGCTCCCGACGCGCATTGTCCAGCTGGCACGCGGTGTCTCACACGGAAAGGATCCTTCAGTGCCACCCTAGAGTGGGCACGCCAACAGAAAACGCATTCTAGCCGAGACGGAAGCGGCGTTACTGCTCCGAGGTGGATGCGTCCCGGCCGATGGGTCCCTGCGAGGCTGATCACGCTCCTCGCCCACAGGGAACACTTGCCACCCAGCGCGCCTCAGCCCTATTGTGCGATGCTCTACTGCAGGAGTGGCATTAAAATGCCAATATTGTTTTGGTTTACAATGCTCTTACTTGTTCTGTTGCACTTACTGTTTTGATTGGCACTCTCAAAATTAATCCAGCTTTTTTCCTTTTCTTTTTTTTTTTTAAATAATCCCATTTTTAAATCGGATGCTATTTTGGCCAGAAAAACATTGGATAATGAGTGACCACCAGTTTACACAACGAATCGTTACCATTTCAGGCAATACCAAGGTAGAGCGAAGAGCTGAGCGCAGGCCAGAGCTGTTGGGAGGGATGAGCCAGGTCGCACCTCTTGGGCCGTTACCTTCATGCCCCTGCAGGCTCGCCCCCGGCAGCCACAACCTGGCATACAGAAGCAAAAGCCAAAGCACGGTAATGCCACTCCTATAAGGTAGGAACTTCAAAAAAGGCCACTACGTGACAGAGAAATTGCTCCCGCGCCAACACCAAGAGGTGAGGCTCCTCAGCGAAAGCATCCTCCTCCTCCTCCTCCCGCCTTCAGGAGAGGGTGTCACACCTACCCCGAGCTCTGCGGCCAGCGCGTGCCTGCCTTGCCGCCCACAGAGCCGGTGTGCCGGGGCTGGCGCGGATGCACCACGCTTTCTGCCCTGCAAGCAGCCCTTGCCCGACCCCAGCTTGAGCAGGGGAGCCACAAGGCGCTCCGGGTACGGACCGGGGGGTCCTGGAGCACAGGGCAGGGGGGGCTCTTGTCCTTCAGGAACCAGCCTCCCCACTGGGACGCGGTCTGGCTCCCACGAAAGTCACCAGCCGTCGTCTGAGCGCGGGACGCGTGGTCCTGGGGGAGCGGGGGCAGGCAGGGGAGCCATCGGTTCCCTCTCCAGAGCCGGCAGAGGCCCCGGAGCACGCGGGGCCGAAGCAGGGACCCCTCGAGGACCCAGCTTACGGGTGGCGTTAATCTCGTTGTTAATCACGTTAATCAGGTTAATCACGTTCCCGCCCGAATGAGCGCCGCCCCGAGGGAAAGGCGCTCGGCCTGGGCCTGCCGCCGCCCTGCGCCCCCCGGGGCAGCC